CAACCCTGGCACCTGACTGGCCACGCCAGGTGCCACCCCAAGTAACTGACAGGTGGGTGGGGATCTTGGATTTTGTTTTTAAATTTATCTGTGCATGTTGAAAAAGGTCTGAAATATAGCCAACTGGAAAATTAGCAATAGCGTTAGTGGTGAGCCTAATTTGGGATCAACATTGGTGATCATTCTTAGTTACTCTGCAACAAATTTAATCTCAATAAGTCTTAAAATGAATCTGAATTATAGTCTTTAAAAGTTAGCTGTGGTGGACATTTTGAATTTTTGATTAGCATTTAAGCTAACAATCTTTGGTAAAGATTGTTTTCAGCAACTTCACCACTAATCTTCAGTTTTGTGTGYCTAAAGGTTTCTGAATAAATAAATTATTGCTAGCATTCAGCATGTTTGTTGGATCATTACAGGATACCATCATACAAAATTTCTGCTCAAAATTTCATAAACCAGCTGAATTAAAGCCATTTGGAATTAGTTGTGACAGTCAATTTYAATTTTGAAATCTAGTGCTTTTTTCATTTGTACCCCCTAATTTTTTWAATAAAACTAGACAGACAGACAAATAAAAAACACCTTGGCCACCTCCGTGCCAACCCTAGTAAAAAAAAATCCTAGCTCCGCCCCTGGCTGTTAAACTAAAGTTTAGAGGAGCGTCTGTAACTTTAGCCTTTTTGTGTTGGCTAAGCTGTGGCAGCCATCTTGACCCCAAAACGTCACCAGTTCTAGGTTCATCCAATGATTACTTTGAGTAAACGTCTGAGTAATCAGTAGTTCTGACAGTTTTACTGCAGCAGGACATGACTTCAGCATCTGAGTCAGGAAGTCAACAGTGCATCATCTGAGCACCGACCATCTGTTCTCTGCTCCGGGGCCTGAGGGACACAACCTGATCCTCGACGTCACACAGCCCCACACTTTCACAATACCCACAAACAAGTGCTGACCCGCTCGGCCCTTCAACTTCCTGCTTTTAAACTTCAGTTAAAGCCAGTCGTCTGTGACTAAAACAACACTGAAGTGATGACAGCTGAGCCTGGTCGTCATGGAACAGGTGGGCTGATGTGGTCTAACCGGGACCGGCCTCCTGGTCTCTACATTTTCTATTTGTAACCCGTGTTCTAACTGGACATTTATAAAGAAACTAGCTATTTAATCGTCAAAATATGTTACCTTAATTATATGTTTTGTTGAAGACACTGTACAACGGTTGGGTAAAAATACGTTAAAATCATTTTAACTTGACAGCAACACATTTCAAAACAGCTGTTCCAGGAGCAGCAAGTCTCTAACAGTCAGTGGTTTGAATAAGAAACAGCTGCAGAAGCATTTTGGCACCAATTAGGTTGATTATCATCAGGTGAGGCAGAGGACCAGGAGGAGTCTGAAAATCCTGCAACATTTTCAATAATACCTGAATCTCCATCACCTCCAGTTCATAATCTCATCAACAGATTAATATAAACTGTAGTAATCTCTGAGCTCAAAGGTTGAAAGTCAAGATTAAAAGGCATTTAAAACTGCATTAAAACTAGGTCTGGTTCTGTTCTGGACTCACCCATTCTAGTCTGTAAACAGTTCACTGTGTCATCAKGCAGAAAAGAAGCTGAAAGTGAGCACCATCCAGACTCAAATCARCTGAGAAAAATATGATTCTCTATTGGAAATCATGAATTCTGTCCTAAAGAGAGGAACCACCAGCCTGTTCTCAGCTCACAGCTCTAAAGCCGGCCTCTCTGATGGTATGGAGGCACAATCGTGCCTATACGGGCAGCTTACAGATGTGACTATAAACGCAGAAAAGTATCCAGGTTTTAAAATACTGTTCTCTCCCTGATGATGCATCTGTTACAACAGTCTGAAGAGTCCAGGTTCTGATCTGACCCGCCTGCAGTCCAGACCTCAGAACATTTAAAAACATTTAACACACCAAGAAAGGAGAAGATCCACGGCTTTAGARCAGCTAAAGGTCCAACAACTGCTCTTCTCGTGTTTACAGACTGTAAACAGGACTCTGTCTTAAATTTGTGTTGCTTTTTACCTAAAACAAATTCTTGGTTTAAAAACATCCTGATGTTTCATTTTGAAGAAAATATGGGTTTATGAGATTTTAGTTTTTCATTTACATTTTACATAATGTCCCAACTTTTTTAGGCCAAAAAGTACACATCTCAGGTGTAATTGTCTGATTTGGTTTTCACTAAATCCTAAACAACAAAAACAAACTGAAAGCAAAAAACTTCTGTTAGAAACTAAACCCAGGTTTGAYAYTTTGTCCTAAATTTGCCCCCAAATGACTCAAATTTAAGTTTTCTTTAACTTTGTTTTTGTGGTATAGGCTTTTACAAACATACTTTTATTATGAAATGGGACATATTTTATTCTTTCACATCCATTGAAAGCTCTTTAAATAAATTACTCTTTTTTTAAATGTGTTTTTGTCAAAATGTGAGTTGATTGTTCAGTTTTAGACTAAATTTTAAATCCCAATGTCTTCATTTTAAACAAATAAAGCAGCACTCATCTTAGTGCTTCAGGCGTCAGAAAACATACAAAATGTTTCTTTCTAACACACAAAAATAAACAAAAGTAAATCCACTTACTGAAAGCTGTGACAGTCAAATGTTTATCAAAGGTAAAAGACTAATGAATGCTGCTAAAAACAGAGCTCTGTGAGGCTGACAGAGCTCTGAAAGACAACATAAAACTAAAATAAAAAGAAGAATCCTGAGGTTTAACATTAAACCAAACCACCTACCTAATCCTCTGACACGTCTGCTCCTCAGCTCTGCTTCTTCTCTTTCTGCCTCCCAACTCTTAAAGCTGACAGGTGACGAGCTCCTCTCAGCCAATCAGAGCACAGCGTTCACCTCCACCTGACAGGTATGTCTGTGGAAAACTCACGATTTCCCTGCGCTGCTGGGAGCAGCCTGAGGGAATGTGACGCAGCAGCCTGGAAGGWGGAAGAGGAGGAGGAGATCCCACACTGGATTCCAGGAACTCCTGGTTCCCCTCGAGCTGAGGGTCAGCTCTGCAGGATGTGACTCACACAACCAGCTGACTTAAGAGAAATAACGG